CGACCTTAAATATGCCTAGTCATCACCCTAATAATATATCCATTAATGATTTTGAAAAATGAACATAAACTAAGCGTTTCTCTCATGCCTACATAACATCATGAGAAGAGAGTGGAACTCTCGAGACAGAGAAAACTGTCCAAAATTACTAAAAAAAACCACAAAAATAGAGACCATTCATAAAAATCATCCCCCAAGGAACAAATAGATACCAACAAACCTTATCTCGTTGATAAAAATTCCTTTGGCGTTGATCCCTCCATCTTTCATCATCCCGTTGATTCCAAGTAGTAGATTTTACATCCTTCCATTTATCAAATCCATTTTTACAAAATTCTTCATCATTTTGGAGCTGTTCGCCACTACCAAAAGAACAAGAAGGATCGCTGATTGTCTAAAAAGTATTTTAAAAAACAAAAAAAAATTAAAAAACCTTATTCAAGTTATTGCTTTGAGATATAGGATGATGATTTGCACATTGAGTAGAAGAAGAAGATGTGGAAGATGAGGAAGCATTTGCAGTGTCAGAAGAAGGAGACTATAAAAAATTTATAGTTAAATTAATAAATTAAAAAGGAAATTTCAAAAAATCCAAATTTGTAAAAAAATAGAAAAAAACCTTAAAAGATGTTGCAGATTCAACAGATTTATTTGGAGATTTATTATTATTATTTTCATTATCCTTTTCCCCATCAATTGTTGTTGTAGCAGCAAAACAAGATGCTTCAATATCTTCATTACTTGAAGAACAAAGTTTTGTACATGAAGTAGATAAATTATTATTTGAGCGACGAGTTAGAAGTGCTGCTAATCTAGATTCAAGTGATCGTTGTTGAGGAGGTGTAGGCGAAGAAAGTTGTGGAGGTGATATCTTTAAAAAAATAATTTTTAAAAGTAAAACCTCAGAAATATTTAAAAATAGCAGAAATTGTAATATACATTAATACACGTTGTTTGCTCATACCAGAGATGCCACGGATTAAGAAAAAGGTCAGCATTCCGAGTTTTCTAAATTTTATCCGGACCGGGTTTAAGATTGATAAAAAAATTTATTTCAAGTAGACTGACATCCCTGACCAGCTTGTCCCGCAAACCGACTGGTCAACCAAATTTAAAAAAAGATCTTGAATTTTGGGTATCTTATAATGAAGCCTATGATAACAAGTCTCAAAATCAAAAAAATTAATACAAAAAAACCTCTTGTTGTTGTTGTTCCTTTTGTTCACAATCTTCAATAGAAGAATTATTTTGTGAAATATTTTCAACTAGTAAATGAGGTTCATGTTCTAAAATCACAATTTTATTGTCTGCAGTTTTCTTTGGAGTAACTAAGGCAATTGGTGGAAGAAATGTTGAAAGACTAGTTGTTGATAAAGAAGGTGGTGACAAATGTTGTTGCTGGTGTGAACATCTTATAGAATCAAAAGAAAATTTTGTCGGTGTAATCGGTGTAACAGCTGTTGTCGTTGTTGGAGTTGAATTTATAACGTTTAGAGAAACGTTGTTACTGTAATGAAAAAGATTTCAAAAAATTTTTCGTTCGCAAAACTATTTGCGAATTTTTTAAATCGTTTAGCCGACATAAGTTGAAAGATTAAACAAACCTCAAAGTAATCGGAGTAAAGTTTAAGCGTTCTTCAAAATGCTTCTGGCCATCAACATCTATAAAAATAAATTTTTTAATCTTTTAATAACAGAATTAATAACAGACTCAAAAGCCCCCGGCGTAGCCGGGGGCTTTTGAGTCTATAGCCCCCCTCCTTGAAATTGAATAAAAGGAAAGATTTGGAAGAAATATATTTCTTGCTTATGACCTTCAGGATTCTCAAAATTTTTGCCTAGAAATGACGGAAATCTGGCCAAACTGTTAAGAAATCGCCAAAGTAAACGCCAAAATTTTGGCGTACACTACATTTTTGCCCCTTATAATCAACCCATTGGCTACGCCCTTGACCTAATGATCAAAAATTTTTAAAATTAAACAACAAAAACCTTTTGCATCCACAACAACAGATGAAGCTTCAGAAACATCATTTTTTGGTACAACTTGCAAAGGAGGAGCATCTTGTGTAGAAGCTATTGGTGTTTTCTTCAAATCCTCTTTAATACTACGTCGATGCTTAAAAAATGTTAAAAGGATAAAAAAATTTTTTTAAAGTTAAAAAACCTCGCGTTGTTTTGAATTTTTTAATGGTGAAGTAGCATTATTATTGCCAGATTTTTTATTTGATGTAGTTTTCTCTTTCGATGAGACACCATTTTCTTTAAAATAAGATTTAATTTTTTTCTTTAAGACAAGATCCTATCAATAAGCTCAAAATCCAGCCTCTAAATAAGCTTTTGACTTGAGTATTCCCCTACTCTTGTCCATTCGTTTTCAAAATTCGGCAGGAATACCCAGTAAAAGTATTCCTATGCATGTGTGCAACTGAGTTCCCGAACCAAAAAAGAACTTACAACGGAATTCTCCTCAAAAAATTTTTTCTAATCAAAAAAAAATAAATACCCAAATTTGTCCAAGTCTTTTTCAATACATCCCCATCTTCATCTTTGTATCTTTGCGCCAACAGTCCACGAATATGTTGAATTGTTTTTTCATTGAAAATAAATCTATAACGCTCAGGGAGTTCCAATTCTTCACCAACACGTAATTTGTAGAGTTCTCCAAGTTTATAAACTTGAAAAATTTTTTAGAAAATTATTTTAAAAATTAAAAAATACCAAAAGGGTCAAAGAAACATTGAACTTCTCTTCCCATCATTGGACGGCCATGATGACGTAAAATGAAAAGCTATAAAATAAAAAATAAATTTCTTTTAACAAAAAATATAACGGAAATGTGAAAGCTGTTCTTAAAAATAAGGTTGATTTTTTCTTGATTTTTTTTGTTTACGGGATTAACCATTGAGAAGCCCAACTGTTAACAAAGTAACGAACAGGTCAATGACGAGTCTAGACATTCCAAAATATGTATGACCCATAAAAACCAGAAATACAACAAAAGTTCAAAAAAATTCAAAAAAAAACCTTTCCATCTCTGCAACTATAAAAGTCAATTAATGCCATTCCCAAATGACTTCCAGTTGTTGGATGACGCAAAATTTTAATTTGAAGAGGTGTAATGCCAACAGTTGAAACATAGGACGTTGATAATGAAGTAGTTCCTTCTCCATCGTTTGAAGGTGTTGAGAGATTTGTAGTCGAAGAATGCGTTAGTTTCCTTTTAGAATTGAAATATTAAAAAAAATAGCGGGTGAATTAAATAACAGCAGCCTATTGTCAGCCAGAAGAGACATTGGCCGGAAATCAGGGATGGATTCTAGAGATATACTGGTCGGGCTTTCGATAGACCATTAGCGTTGGCGGATCCGAATCCGAAGCACGGAAATCCGAAAACAGTTTCCCAAAGTGACCACAACTCTGATTCATTGGGCTGGGCATAGCAATGCCCAAAAAATTTTTGAAAGTTGAATGATTCATAAAATGAAGTAGGATTTTTTAGCCCACAGGTAGGTCTTTCTTTAGAACCATCGACCCTAATAGCTAGTACCTAATTTTGCAAAAGGGGAAGTATTGCCAAAAGAATTAAAAAAATATACTTGCAAAGCTGTAAAAGAAATTTGTCGTCAATATTGTCATTTAGCCCAACCAATGCCACTTCCCGTCTAGGGGGGATAGCGCAATATTCGTCATCGAGCTAAAATTGAATTTTTTCTAATTCTCAAAAATAATTTAAAAAACCATAAACTCAGGAACAGGCAGATCACAGGTCGAAAGTTTAACAATTTTGCGCGGGTCAGGAGGTTTACGTGGGTCTTGAACAGTGGTGACATTAAACTGAAAAATACAAAATCACTTTGTAAATAAATTTAAAAATAAACAGAACAGTTGTACAGTTGTCAAAACCTATGAGACTAGTTAAAAGTCAAACTTTTAAAATAGAAAGTCCGCTGGCCGGATTCGAACCCACGACCTATCAAGTGACAAATACGGGTGTTTATTAATACAACAAATTGACTTAAAACGATTAAATCAATCTTCTAAAACTTATTAAAAACCTTTAGAACTTGTTAAAAGTCAGGTTTTCAAAAATAAAAATTAAAAGTCCACTGGCTGGGTTCGAACCCACGGCCTATCAAGATCACAAATACCATTACACCAAACTGCCCTAACACACCCAAACCGATCCTGAATGCCAGCAAACTCAGTAAATTTACAAAAGCTTAACATACAACCTTTACAAACAGACTCGTAGTTAATTTAAACAAATTCCCCAACCAATCCCCAAACTATATAAAACTTTTAAAAAATCCCGTATACCTGAGGAAACTCTTCACAAATTCCAAATACTCGAAAAACTGCAAATTTAGGATCCGGATTGTTTGGGTTTGTAAACCGCCTCCAAGATGGTTTAATTTGTTGTTGAGTCAAGTCATTTGAAGCACTACATGGCTCTTGAGATTGTTGCATAATAATTCTTAAAAACTAAAAAAATCAACAAAAAATCTATAAAAACATGAAATGTGGATTTTAATTAAAAAGAGCGATCATCTACCTTTACAAGGTGAAAAGGTAAAAGTGTAAAATAACGAAAGAAAATGTAACAACGGAAGAGAAATGAGAGAGAAATGCCAAAAAAGAAAAAAATGAAGAATTTTGAGTAAATAGCAAATAGAGTCTGAAAACTAAAAAATATAAAAGCTAGACTCAAGTGTTCCGTACTGAAATAAAAATAATTTTACATTATGCCAAACAAAATGGGATAAAATGTCATTTTTATTTTTAGGCACTAAATTAAAGAATAAACGAACAAAAACATGTTTGGGAAACATGTTTTACAAAACATGAAACATTTTTCACAAAACTTGTTTTACAAAACTTTTTTTCTTTGTTTTTCAAAACAACCTATAAAACGAACAAGAACACAAGAGTCTAAGCAAGCGGACAACTAAAGAGATAATTTAATTTAAAAATATAAATAAATTTTTTTAATTAAAAATTTTTTTCTTAAATTTTTATACGTCAAAAAAAATAAATTTTTGAAAAAATGAATGAAATTAAAAAAATAATCATTGTTAAATAATTTATTAAATTTATCCTTTTATTGTGTCTCTCTTCTTTTTATATAATATTTTCTTTTTTTCTTCACTGGGTATGTTGTTGTTTTGTTTTTATTTTGTTGTTGTTGATGTTGTGTTTTTATTGAGCATTTTTCCTGTTGTTTCTAATGTTTTGTTGTTTTTGTTGTTTTGAACAAGTTTGTTGGAATTGTTTTTCTTGCGCAAAATTGTTTGGAAAGCCTTTAAAACAAAAACATTAAAATTAAAAACAAGTTTATTTAATGTTATTAAAACATGTTTTGCAAACTTTAAACATGTTTTTAAAACATGTTTTGCAAACTTTTCCCTTTAGTTCTAAAACATGTTTTTCCACTTTATTTTCAAAACTTGTTTTTTAAACTTATTTTTACAACCTTTTTACCAACTTGTTTTTAGTCATTTTTTCCCAACTTGTTTTAAAACTTGTTTCTTTCCCAACTTTGTTTTTAAATGTTTTTCCCTCTGTTTTTAAAAACACACCTTTTCATCGTTGTTGTGTACAATTGTTTCTCTTTCCCTATCATCGCTGCTACTTCTTTCAGCGTTGCTTGTTGTTGTGCTAGGTGTAGGTGAAACAGAAGAGTGTTGATTCCATTCTAAACCACTAGTTTCAAAAAGATCACTACAAGTAGAGGTAATGTTTGTTGTTTTACTGTCTCTATTTAAACTTTGCCCACTCCCCCCACTATAAAAACATTCAACAACAACAGGTTCATAAAAGAGAAGAACATAAAGTTTTGGGCCAAATATAAATATTAATAATAATGTTGCAGTTAGTTGTAATTCAATAACAGTTGTAAAATCCAAATAAACCGGGCTGATCAAAACATGACTTACTGCCCACAAACATAGAATTATAGTGCAACTTAAAAAAGAAAAAACTTTAAAAAAAACATAGTCAAACATGTTTTACAATTTGTGATTGAATAAAACTTGTTTCTAAACTTTTTTTACAAATTGTTTTCTAACATATTTGTAAAACTTGTTTTCCAACATGTTTTAAAAACATATTTTTTCAATTTATTTTTTACAACTTGTTTTCCAACATATTTGTAAAACTTGTTCTCCAACATGTTTTTCGTATTTTTATAAACTTGAGTGTATGAATTATTTCTCCCAACATGTTTTACAATTTGTTTTACAACCTAATTTCCCAACAAAACTTGTTTTTCAATTCTTTCCTAAACATGTTTGTTTAAACTTTCTCTTACCTCAGCGATGTAATAAACAACCATTTTGCTTCTTTATAGTTTCGCTTAATGCTTCTATTTTTTGAACTTAATAAAAGTGCTAAAAGTAGAAGGAAAAAAGTGTAGATTTGTGCAAGCAAAAAGTTTGGTGATGAATACGAACATAATAATATTAGAGGGTGTTGTTTTTGTGTTTCCAAATTTTGTTGTGAAAATAGTTGAAAATTTTGTTGTTTTGCCCCAATAATATATTCTAACGGTTCAATTAAAAACCATTTCATACAAATAACAAATTGAACAGCAAAAATAAATGCTAAAAGAAGCCAATAATTCCAATAACTAATAGTATGTTGTTTTGAAGAAGTTGCCAATGTTTCAGCATTTTTTAATTGTATTGCTTTGACTATAATTACACCAAAACATAGTGTATGGGCGAGAGAGTGTGCAGAGATTCGAAGATGACAAATCTGTGTTTGTGTTATAGAGAAAAAAAATAAAACTTAGTTTTTACAATTTGTGTTTTTCAAGTTTTAAGTTGTTTTTACAATTAAGTTTAATTTTCAAAACATTGTTTTTACAAAATGTTTTCAAAACTTTTAATTTACAGACTTTTTACAAATTGTAAAACACAGTTAGAACTTGTTTTCAGGTTCTAAACAAAGTTTATTTTTCAAACTTGTTTATAAGAAACATTTTTACAACTTGTTTTTACAATTAGGTTCAATTTTTCAAACTTGTTTCTAAAAAATATTTTTGCAACTTGTTTAGAAACTGTTTTTACGATTTGTTTTACAAAACTTTATTTTACAACTTGTTTTTAAAACTCTTTTGTACAAATTGTAAAACATTATATAAACTTACCAAATTACTGGGTGTACTAGCAAACAAAAACCCTGTAGCATACAACGAACATATTCCAATTAACAACAAAATTCCAAGCGATTGATGTCCTTTTATTGTTCTCTGATACATTTTAAATAAAATTAGCAACAATGTTGCCATTGCTAAAACACAAAGTATTCCGCTCAAAACAAAAAATACAATTCTTAGAGCTTCATTTAATTCTTGAGACATTGAAAATTCATTTAATTGGGAAATTTCCTTAAAATTTTTTTTGAAATTTTAAAATTTAAAAAAATTACAGGGAAATTAGTTCCATCATAAACTAGCAATAATTCCTCATCATTTCCATTTAACATTGTAGGCTTTGCAGGCTCTCTTCTGATATAAGGATTAGAGTAAGTATGGTGTGTTGTTGTGTCGTCGGAATCGTCGTTGTCATCAACTTGTCTTTAGAGAAAAATTTAAAAAATTAAAATAATTATTTTTCAAAAAGCCGGACCTTCTAGTAGAAGGACATTTACAAAAAGGAGCACGACATCTTGAAATAATTGGAGGTAACCATTGTAATTCTTCTTCTCCTCCTCCGTTTTCTTCAGAATTTGTAATAAAAGGTCGATATTCTGATATAAAATGAATTTGGTCTGAATTTGTTGATTCAGGGGACGATGAGGAGGAGGAAGAATAATTTGCAAATAGTTTGTATCCAAAATTATCTTTAAAATAAATTTAAAAAATTATTATTTTTATTTAAATTTGATTAAGTTAATTTTAGCTTAAACAAATGTAAGACTCAGGTGTTTGTTTGTCAAATAAAAATATGTTTGTAAAACATGTTTTACAAATTATTAGTACTTTTTTAATGTTGGGAGAACAAGTTTGTAAAGGTTTGTAAAACTTGTTGAGAAAATAATATAGGAGAGAAAAAGTTGTAAAACAAATTTTACAAAAAAAGAGAATAAGTTGTAAAACAAGTTTGTAAAACTTGTTTAAAAAAACTTTTTTTGAAAACTTGAGAGAACAAGTTTGTAAACGTTAGTAAAACATGTTGAGAAAATAATATAGGAGAGAAAGTTGGAAAACAAGTTTTACAAACAAGTTTTTCATAAACAAACAAGTTTTCAAAATTACAAACTTACTTTCATCTCCATTAGAAACAAGTTGGTAAATTTCATATTCAACAGGCTCTTTAAGTATAAGTTGGGCATAAGTGTTTCTAATTAATTTGCGTCCATTTTTATTAAATTCATCACAAATTAATGGTTTTATTTCATTTGGGCATAATCTAAAATTAAAAAAATTAATTTTTGAATTAATTTTTTTCTTCAACTTCTTATAAGTTGAATCAATAGCTTCCAGCAATAATTGAATTCCTCTAGTTAAGTAGCCTGCGCGGGTAAGACGACCCATTCCATTAACATCCAACAATTCTTCCCCAGTACACAAACGTCCATTAAATCGTTCTATGTTGCTTTTAGACCTTTAAAAAATTTTTCAAAATTTTTTTAATTTTTTAAAAATTAAAAATAAATTTTTACAGGGCGCATTGCCAATTTTCTTCAACATGACGCCAATACCAAACTTCGGGTAATGTGAGAGGGGTGATAGAACGAAT